CTCCCCCCCCAGCAAAGCCGGCAGGAGCAGCCAGCTGAGATCAGTGCAGGGGGGAGCGTTTGAGCCCTGAGGGGAACAGCACCCGACAAAGGGAGCTGCAACTTCGGCCCGTCCTTTGCCCTCGCTGGGGGTCCACCTGCCCTGGGGGAAGGGGGAGGGATTCTGCTCCTGCTGCGGCCAGGCATGATGGCTCAGCCTCAACAATTCCACCGCTCAGCTGAATTGGCTGTCCAGAATGAAGCTGTATCTGCCCAAACACAAGGGGAACCGCGCAGCACCAGGCCCAGGGGACGCTGCTGGAGAGGAAGACGCTGCAGCTGGCAAGCGCGTTAACAGACTCATGGGATCCTGCCCCTCTGTGCCGCCCATGAAAGCTCCGACCCTAATGAGCGTTTTGGTCTTATGGTGCCACCGGATCCTTGTTGTAGGTGCTGAAACAGACGAAGGTCACCGCTTCGAAACGCCCCAGCCAGGCTGCTCTGCCAACAGGAGCTTTAATCTCCATGGGGAGTGGGGTTGGCAGGGACCTCGGGGCTCATTGCTAGGGGGGGTTACGGGCTCTTTTAGGGCACCAGTCTGAAAGCATCCCCAAGAGAAGTGTCATTAGACAGGGGTGTGATGGGTTGGATCACCAGCTTGGGATTCTCTGGTCCCCCTCCAGCCTGGGGGGGGGGGAATTGCCCCCCACGCTGCAGCTGGCAAGCGCGTTAACAGACTCATGGGATCCTGCCCCTCTGTGCCGCCCATGAAAGCTCCGACCCTAATGGGCACGTTGGGTTTAGGGTGCCACCGGTCCCTTGCTGTCGGTGCTGAAACAGACGAAGGTCACCGCTTCGAAATGCCCCAGCCAGGCCGCTTGGCCAACAGGAGCTTAATCTCCATGCGAAAGGGGGCAGAGGGGTTGGTAGGGACATTGGGGCTCATTGCTGGGGGAGGGGGGTTCATGGGCTCTTTTAGGTCACCAATCTAAAAAGGGTCCTGAGTGAAGTGTCCTTAGACAGGGGTGTGATGGGTTGGATCACCGGCTTGGGATTCCCTGGTGTCCCCCCCAACCCAAGCAAAGAGTTGGGGTAACTGCCCCCCAGAAGAGCAACACAGACAGTGAACCGGCTCGCTCCTGGACAGCTCAGCTGCAAGGCTGTTGACCGCTCCCAGGAACACAGCCCCAAAGGGACCAAACCCCGAATAAATCTGAGTTCCATGAGTAAAAGCTGTACCCAGAGAACGCTCATAAGCTCAGCCCTTTTATCAATCAACAGGAGATACGCACAGTGGTTGCTCCCCCCAGGTAACATCAGAACATAAGAGCGGCCAGACTGGGTCAGACCAAAGGTCCATGTAGCCCAGTGTCCTGTCTGCCCACAGTGGCCTGTGCCAGATGCCCAGGAGGGAGTGAACAGAACAGGAATCACCATGTGATTCCCACCTGTCACCCACTTCCAGACAAACAGAGGCTAGGGACACCACTGCTACCCATCCTGGCTAATAGCCATTGATGAACCTAACCTCCATGAATGTAGCTAGCTCTTTTTCGAACCCTGTTAAAGTCCAGGTCTTCACAACATCCTCTGGCAAGGAGTTCCACAGGTTGACTGTGCTGCCTGCAGAAAAACTTCCTTTTGTTTGTTTGAAACCTGCTGCCTATTGATTTCATTTGGTGACCCTTCGTTCTTTTATTTTGGAAACAAGTAAATCACTTTTCCTCATTCACTTTCTCCAGGGCAGTCATGGAGACCTCTGTCATATCCCCCTGAGGCTGCTGTTTTCTAAGCTGAAAAGTCCAAGTCTTTTTAATCTCTCGTCATATGAGACCCGCTCCAAACCCCTCATCATTTTTGTTGCCCTTATAAGCAATTGTTTACGAAAGGCCTGATAAAGAACAAAGGGTTTTATTAAGTTTAAAAGGTGAGACCTAAGTGGTTGCAAGTGAAACACTCAGATCAAGGGACGTTATTTCTGACATGCAAATTCTCACTCTGAGAGTTGTTCTAATCGGATTCTCTCACCAGCTGGGAAACCACCTGGGTTGGGCCCAGTTCTGACCACTCTTCAATCTTAGATATTCCCAACTGGCTTCTTGGGGGGTAAATCGGGGGTCTCGTGTAATCTGGCCACTGCCCCTATTCCCCCCTTTCTACCTCTTTGCGCAAGGCAGGAATTCTTTGTGTTCAGTCCAAACTTGTCTCATCTTGAGTTGGAAAGTACCAGACCCAGAATGGGTTCCAGCATCAGCTGGCCTGGCCACAGGCCTTTGTAGAGCCAATTCCAAAACAGGCTTACAGGAAAAACAAGCCCATTGACAGACTGTGATCTTGAGCACTGGGCCATTGAGTTCCCCAGTGCCACTACAGGCTCACATGCCAATGTCTAGATTGACCCAGATTCACACTTCACTTTTCCAACTGCTCACACAAGAAAGATCCCTGCACAGAAAGTGAATATGGACATGCAGCAGATCGTAGCTTTAAAAATGCTGCATCATGTGATTGATTTTGCCTTCAAGTCACGCTTATTCATACATCTATTTTCATAAACCATGGGGAGGGTGGTGGCTGTGAGTTCTTTGGTTTAACACTGATATGAGTGCTCCCCTCCTCCGGAGATAAATCTACTGATCCCCAGTGGCAGGCAGTCCTGCAGGCTAACTCCCCAAATAGCAAGAAGCAGGGAATCCCAGGGGTTAACCCCTCTAATTCCCAGAGGCAGGGAGGAATGCAGACAAGTCCAATTGATACAGCATGGCGGGAAGTCTTGTTAATAGCTATTGGCAGGGGGTTCCAGAATTTAAAGATGCTAATAGCCAGTGGCAGGGAGTCTTGCAGGTTAACCTCAGTATTATAATATAATCAAGCCACTGTGAATGCACTGAAAGTACAAAAGCAGATCCATGTATTCTGAAACATTTTACAGTAAAATCCATCATTGACTTGGGGCAAAACAGTAAGGATGGCTCTCAGGATTTCAAAAGAAAGCATGGGGTGATACAAGCACTTGCTTAAATAGAAGCACTGTCAGCTCGTCCACTCCCGCTCTAGGGTGAGACACTGGAGTAGACGTGGTCAGATGGCAAATGTGTCTGCCAATTGCCAATACTCTATTATGCTCCATCTCCTCCTTCTGCTAAATTCTCATCATTTTCCACTTGCTCTCTGTTCTCATAGTCATCAGTGCTCAGCTCTGCAAAAAGGAAGGGTTGGTTCACACAGTGTCTTAGGTGCAGCTACTTCTGGGGTGGAGCAGCTGGGGAACGGCCCCATACAACACCGCATGGGGACAGCTTATTAAGTGTCAAGCTGAAGCCAGGGGCAGGAAGGAAGACTAATGTATCTACGGCACCAGCATGGCTGTTTGGAAGGCAAATACCATTAACTATCTGGGAATCCGGCAATATCAGCCAGATCCATGACCCCCAAACTCTGATAAACAGAGGAGACATCTGGTTACCAACAGCACTGGAAGGCTCTGGCCAGTATCTCAGGGAGAACAACGGCAGCACAGCGCCCCCCAGTGCTGCGCTGGGGCCCTGGGGCCAGCCCTACCTGCCAGGGGAGAGCCCCCACCCATCCAGGGAAGGCATGTGTAGAGGCCCGCAGCCCTAGTGTTCCCCACCTCTCCCCCTGTACTGGCCTTGTACTAGTTGAACTGCTCCTCTTTCTTCGCCTTGCTGGGCTTCTCCCCATTGCCTCTGTTGTCGTAGCTTGAAGGACCCTCTTTTGTGTCTTTCCTGCAGAAGTGAAAAGCTTTAGCTCAGTTCCCACAGCCCTGGAGTCCTAGAGGTTAATGCAACCAATCCCCAGTGGCAGGGAGTCCCATGGGTTAAGGATTCTATCATTTAGTGACAGGGGATCCTATGGGTTAAATTTGATAATATCTGGTAGCATGGAGTTCCACAGGTTATCCCTGCTACTACCCAGTGGCAGAAAGTCTGTAGGCTAATTCTGTCTTAGAGGAGCCTCATGCTACAGGAGAGCAGCAGCCAATCCCTTCTCAGTTCCCTGTTTTCCACGGGTATCTCCCTGTGTGTTAATGGATTCACCACCCTCAGTCCTCCTCGGCCAGTTCTCTTGGTCTGTCTGCCCTCATTTGCCTCTAGCTACCTTGCAGGCCATGATCACCAGCATCAAGAGGAGTAAAATGCCGCCAATGACTCCACTGCAGACTCTAAGCAGGAAATTGCCATCACCTGAGGAGAGACACGGACACTGTTGGTGTGAGAAGTGGGATGAATGGCGTCAAGCAGGGCATGGGGAAGCATGTGTATGAGGGTAATTACAGTTAGCTACATCCTGCTCATGCATGGGGGGAAGGTGCTATTGTCCCCTCCCCTCAGAGACATTGGGCAGGGGCATGGTGTATATCTAAGAAAATACGGTAAGAGCTCACTAGCTACCCACTGCTTCCTGGGTTCCCCTGGCCCTGAGGTAAGTTGGGGGTGGCTTCTACTTGGGTTTGAGAATATACGGTAACCCCAACCCCAATCTCAGTCTATAATAAATAAAAGGCAAATTATATTTAGGCTAATCTGTGTAGCAGAGTAATTACGGTACTAGCAGACATGACTGTGTATGAGCATAATTATAACAGCAGGATGCCCCATGCCAGCCCCCACCACCCAGTCGCCTCAGCCCTGCAGCTTATACCCAGGCTGGGGTGTATATGTGAGTAATTGCGGTAGCAGGGGCCCCCACACCTGCTCCCTCGGGTCCTGGTCCCTGCAGGCACCAGGGGCAGCTTGGCCAGGCTCTGCCCGTGGGCGTTAGCGGCAGCGCAGGACACGTTGGCCAGGCCCTGAAGCTCCCCGCTCTCGGCTTGGTCTCCCAACCAGGACTTGGCCTGCAGCTCGGGGCCCTCGGAG